TTTTCCCTACTTTCTTCAATTTAAGTCTGAATTTGACAATAAGGAGTTCATGATCTGAGCCACAGTCAGCTCCCAGTCTTGTTTTTGCTGACTGTATAGAGCTTCTCCATCTTTGGCTGCAAAGAATATAATCAATCTGATTTTGGTGTTGACCATCTGGTGATGTCCATATGTAGAGTCTTCTTTTGTGTTGTTGGAAGAGGGTGTTTGCTATGACCAGTGTGTTCTCTTGGAAAAATTCTATTAGCCTTTTCCCTGATTCATTCCATACGCCAAGGCCAAATTTATGTCAATTATATCCCAATAAAATTGAAAGAAAAAACTCTGAAGAAAACCAAGGAAGTGACACTATAAAATCAGAATACTGGTCCCCTTTTTGAAGGAGAGATACAGGAAATAATACTGGAAAGGAGTATAAGGGAACTTTGGGGTGATGGCAATGTTCTTTTTCTTGACCTGGGTGGTGGTTAGACAATCATTCTGTAATAATTCATTGAGCTATACATTTTTGTCTTGTATTTTGCTTCTCCATGTGTATTTTATTTTTAATGCTTTAAATAAGCTATTTCTAAAAAGCTAATTGAATGGATAATTAAATTCAATTATAATTTACACCATCTCACTCAATAAATTTATAGAAGTAGACAAAATTAGTAAGGTTAGAATTTAAATAATACTATTAACCAATTTGACCTGGTATCTATAGAGTACTCCACACATCCAGTGCTAAATGCAATTCTTTTCAAATACACATGGAACATCCATCAAGACAGACCATATGCTGGGCCATAAACAAGTCCCAATGTACTTAACCAGGTTAAGGTAACATAGACCATGTTCTCTGACCACAACAGAATTAAACTATAAATCAACAGCAGACATCCAGAAAATCCCCAAATATCTGAATATTAAACACACTTGTATATAATCAATGGACCAAAGAAAAAAATCAGAGAAAAAAAATATATTGGACTGAAAATGAAAACACAATATATCAAAATTTGTGAGATGTAGCTAAAATAATCTTTAGAGGGAAATTTACAGCTTTAAATTATATTACAAGAGAAAGATCTAAAGTCAACTATTTAAATGTCTAACTGTTAAAAAGCTAGAAAGTAATATAGACCCAAAGTAAGTATAAGAAAGGAAATAAGAAATGTAAGAAATCAATTAAATAGAAAACAGACAATCAATGAAACTGAAGCTGGTTCTTTTATTATAAAATACAACACATCACAAAAGGGTACATGTAGGGACTTCCCTGGTGGTCCAGTGGTTAAGAATCCATCTTCCAATGCAGGGGACACAGGTTCAATCCCTGCCTGGGAAACTAGGATCCCACATGTCATGAAGCCCATGTGCCTCAACTACTAAGCCAGCACAGTGCACCTAGAGAGAAGCCTGTGCACTCCCATGAAAGATCCCACCCGCATGCTGCAATGATAAACCTGTGTGCCACAGCTAAGATCCAGTGCAGCCAAAAAACATATTCTTTTAAAAGAGCACATACACAAAAAATACAAAGTGTAATGATTTACCAATGAACACCCTGTAAGCACCACTTGATCAAGAAATAGAATACAATCAGCACCCAGGGTCTCCCTACACATTCTGTTTCTTCTCAATCATTAACCTCTCTGTCCTTCTCAAAGTAATCACTACCCAACCTTTTATGCAAATAACTTCCTTGCTTTCATTATAATTTTACCACTTAAGAATACATCTTCAAAATCTAGGATTGAGTTTTACCTGTTTTTATTAACTTCATATAATGATGAAATGTTATTATTACATGTGTTTGCTTGCACAAACAAGCATATTTTCTTAAGTTAAATGTCTGTTCAAATCTTTTCAACTGAGTTGTCCTTTGAAACAATCAATACAATTGATAAACCTCAAGCTAGACTGATCAATATAGACACAAATAATCAGTATCAGCAATGAAAGAACTGACATAACTACAAGTGCTACAGATATTAAAAGAATAAGGAAATATTATTATTAAAAACCTTACAGTAATTAATTTGACAACCTGGTTTACACAAAGTAACTAAACCAGCTAGGTATACAGGAATATTCCAGAATAACCACTTGAAGTTTCTTACATTTCAAAACCTTTAAAACTGTCCTTAGATCTGTATTTACCCTAAGTCATTTGAAAAAACGATAAACATACCAGTTTATCTCAAAACACATCTTTAAGTACCTATGATATGTGCTCCCATTAAAGGTTCATATTAAAGACACGGTCTTTTCTCATAGTCATGCAACCCTCATTTGGCTTACTGACCCCTGGAAAAACAAACATGAATAAGAGACAACACAAAATTTATTAAAGATCATAATGCTATCATTTATTAGAGAAAAAGAAGTTTTGTGATATTTGGGGGGGAAATAGCTTGCTTAACATAAAATTCTTTCTCTTTGAAAGGGGTTAGTAAAAACAAAACAATATTCATTGTATGAAATAGGATCTCAAGGTAGGAAAAACAGCACGCAATGTGTTTTTTGATATAAAAATTTAGGTACACCATCAGCAGCATTCAAAATTAGCTGAGTATACAATTATAAAAATTGAATTTTTAACAAAGTGTCTTAAAAGCTTATCATATTAGAACAGGCACAATGTTCTGTAGGCATATAAATTCCCCATGGGCTTTTAAAAATCCATAATCTCAACTGCACAATCAGAATGTACAAAAGCAGCAAAAGATCATAGTTCAGAGGTTTTAACAAGCTCATCATCAGTTTTTCAGCTCCAGCTAAGAAAGAACATAATTTTATTCAGTCAGTTTACATCAACAAAGGCACTGATGGTCCCTGGGCTCTGCTCACAAACTCTGCAGCAAGATCTCTGCCAGCGCTTTGTGAAGCCAAGGGGCAGAAATCTGAGCCATCAACAGCAAAGCTTAAGTGTACCAGGGCCTTGGGAGTGTTATTAAAGCATTCAGGGTAGAACTAGATAACTGAAAAGTGGGACGAAATGCCCTACCCCAAGTAAACTGGGGGCAACTACACCACATAGCACTCCTCTTCACTTGACCAAAAAACCCTCAAGATCTCAGAATTTCATAAAATTATAAATGAGAAGGTACTTTAAAGTCACATGACTCAACTTTCCAACTTTTTAAATAAAAATTGGTAAAAAAAAAATGTAGACTTTTAAATGTAAGTTCTTTTGTTAATCTTTTCAAGAGCTACATACATATAAATCTGTATTTAACATCAGGTGAGAGTCTATTCACTTTTTTGAAAATGCTAACTGCAAGGAAACTACTGCACATCTAAAAACTTAAGTATTGGATTTTAAAATCAAAAGAACGATGCCTACTATCTAGCAAAAACACTTTATAAACCTTAAACACTGATTTTGTTGTTTTTATTTGCTTAAAATGAAGTTTAAGGATGGGTTGTGAACTCTGAAGTATCTGTAATTCTGCAGCCACTCTAGTCAGAAGTTATCTGAGGAAAGAGATGAGAAGAGAAGCCTTATATAGGCAACCCCATACAAAAAGAATACCGAAGTCACAGGGCTGCAGTTTTATTTTCTAATTCATTCTGCCAAGTTTCATCACGTGTGGTGTAACATGTGTCACTCTCGTGCAGACATCAAAAGCAGAAGCAGTCAAACCAGTACCCCCACACCATTTTTTTTAAGGTATGACCCTCTTCTTAATTATCTTTCCTAATGGAAGTATCCAAAAGTAATGTTAGATGCATTTCATGATTATATTTCTTGCTTCTGAGCATATACTGATTAGGGTAGCACTCAGCTGGATAATCCACAGTCACCACACAGGAGTGATGCACAGAAGCTCCAAGCACTGACAATGAGGCCAATGAGAATGCTCAGCCAGATAGAGTGCTTTGCTCTTTCCCAGAGACAAGACAGTCTGTGGAAGGGAGACGGGAAACCTTAGGCTGGGTCTCAGCAGCCCATAGCCACAGGCAGAGCCATGCAGAGAAGTTGGAGAGCCAGAGGCCCCCCTGAGCACATCAGGCAAAAATGAAGAACTCTGAGACAGGAGGTGGGGGACAATGAGCTAGTAAACACACTAGCCCAGCATCAGACAAGCAGTTTCTAAGGGGCAGGGAAACCTAAGAAGAACCCAGGCCTCCAGGCCTGGAGGGCAGGGCTGCTCCCAGCACAGTGGTCACAGGCCAACACAGCCAAGGAAGAGCGTTCGGGCCAGCCTCCCACCCCGCTGCTGGGAGCACCGCCTTGAACAAACACACGTCTTGTCTACAAAAGGGCCACCTCAAAGGTTGCCTTCATTCCAAAATGCAAAGATCTAACCAGCAACGAACAGGTAAGATGGAAGGCAGGGGAGCAGGGAAACAGACCACGAACAGCCACAGGATCTAAAACCCTAACCCTCCACTCCTTGTCTCATCCATGGGGTCGCTTCTAACCAGCACGGCTGCTTGGTAACACCTTTCCGTACATTTGAGATGGACACCTACAATCTGGCAGACGAAAACAAGGAGGGAAGTAACCAAAAGGTAAGGCAGCAGAAAGAAAAATGTAGGGGTCTGGGAAGATCCTGGAAGGCAAGATCACCCATGCGCTGTTCAGGTGTTGGAACGGACCCGTATGAGCAAACTGGCCACAGGGCTCAAGAGCAGACAAAGCAGGAGCTTTTATCCGAGAACTGGCGTCCTCTGCCGGTGAGATCTGGTACAGACCCTCTACCCTTTCTGAGGCTGTTGCTTGTCTAATAACAGAGACAAGACTGCTGGCTTATGGTAACTCACTCCAGTATCCTTGCCTGGGATATCCTATGGACAGAGAAGCCTGGTGAGCTACAGTACATAGGGTCGCAAAGAGCCAGACACAACCCAGAGACAGCACGCGCTGCTAGTCTAGCAAAGTTATTGTGAATATTCAGTGAGATGTGGCATGGTGATGTCTGTAGTGCCAGATACATATTACAAAATAAATTTTTTTAGATAAATTAATGACCAGAGACATTCACCCTCTCACCTTCAATGGTCATCCATTATTGTCAGGCTTAAATAATAACACCCACCTTTTACTGAGACATTTACCTATGCTGGGTCCCCTGCTAAGCACTTGACATATTTCTTATTGACATCCTACAATGATCCAGCAGCAACTATCCCCATTATTTTTAAACAGATGAGCAACATGAGGACCAGAGGTTAAGGAGCTTGTTCAACCTGACACTAGCATGTGACTGAGACACAGCTCACCCAGACCTGTTTGACTTCATAGCCCACATTAACCACCACGACATCATAGAGGCCAGGTGACCTCTTAACCTCATGTCTCACAAAGTCCAAGTCCAGCCTCTGAAAAAGGTACAGAGGGGTCAGCCACAGAGATCCTCTGGCTGTTCGTGGCCTCCAGGCTAGTTGAAGCTCACAGTGAGACCAGGTTAGTTTCACATCAGCTTTAAAGAGAAGAAGCAATGAAGACTCCTGACTTCCTTCTGGCCCCATTCAGGACCCTTCTGAGATCTGAGCAGTCTCCTGGAAGCACCGGGCATGTGAAGATAACCAGATGGTAGTATATACTTTTCAATTCTAGCTGAAGCTATATTAGGGGTCTCAGCAGAAGACAGGATGCCGTCAACAGCCTAGAAAGGACCCAGTAACATTGGTTCCTCACTCTGGCACCATCAGGCCTGTTCATACCTTCCCCAGATCAGAAGAAAAGCCTTGCCAGTCTGAGGTCTCAGCTACAGCAGAAAAAAGAATTCAGCAATTAGTAAGCAAAGAGACAAGAGGTGGAACACTGCCTTTGGTTTGGAGGCTCCCAGAGCAAGAGCCTGAGTGGACAGACCAGACCAGGAAGAAGAGAAAGGCAAACCCAAACAGACTGGCTTTGAAGGAGACTTTGGAGGCCTTGCAATGCCAAGAGCTCTGATGATCGATACAGGACATTCTGAAGGTCATGCAGTAAGGAGGGGCAAATGGGCACAAAAGAACTGATGAAGAGGCCACAGATCCAGGAGGAAGCTTCCCATAGGGAGACTAAGCAGGAGAAAATACAATGATGTAGAGGACTGGGGCCAGAAAATGAACAAGCTTGACTGATGAAGACGGGGAAAATAGTTACAGGAGATATCACCAGAGCCACATCCAGAAATGCGGGTTAAGAAGGGGACTGAAGCAGGGGCACCCAGGCTCAGGACTCAGTTCTGCCAGCAACTCTGATTTTGGGTAGATCTAGTAACTTTTCTGAGCCTTGATTTTTTTGGACAGCCAAGTGGGTTAACAATCTCTGCTTGATCACAAGGTTCTTACCAGGACTAGACAAGATCAGGGACATGAAAGCAGTCTGTCTGTGATCAGGCATCAGGCTGTGATATGGCCACTCTGCAGTCCCTGGCATCTTCTCCCACTGTTTCCAGCACAGGCTCCAGTGCAAAACACTGGGACTGTTTAAAGGTCACTGGGTAGGAGTGCCTACTTTCTGCTGGCTCCACGGTTGGGCTCTGTCTTCCCACCTACTCTCCCCTGGCCCCATTCCAGGGGAGAATGGAAAATAAAATCGGTTTAAAAGCAAACATATACAAATAATGGTGGTGGGGGTGGAATACAGCAGAGAGCAGCATGGTTTTTCACCTCCTACGGGCTCCTGTCCAAAAGGAAACACTCGTATTTACTGCTGCAGCTTTGTTCTCTTTCAATCTCGTTCCAGGAGGTCAAGAGTGAAGATACGTTGGGGAGGGAGAAAGAAAGAAATTAAAACCCAAGAAAAAGAGTATGCACTGAGCATTAGAAAATACATTCCCACCCAACACTGTAAAGCAACTCCAGTCCAATAAAAAAGAAGGAAAGAAAATACATCCCATAGTCAGGTGTGGAGTCAGAAGAGAGCTGTTCAGGTTTAAAAACAACACACATCATTAGAAAGTGCTTTTCTACCTCATTCCAGCCAGGCTGTACACAGGCTCATGTTCAAATGTCAGGATGGCAGCTTGATCCTGGACACCACAGGAGAAGTACATCCATGTTGTATGGGGCAGGCGCAACAGGCTGAGGGACAAATCTACAAAGTCCCATTGACTCCCAAACTCCATCCCTTCCTGTTGCACCTGAGTCTCCAGCGGGGCCATCTGTCACCAACTGGGAATCACTGGCTTCCAAGGCTCATCTGCTGTTGCTAACAAGGTTCTTACTCCTAAGAGCTCAGTGGAACACCATCCAAAGGTACATGAGGAAGATTCCACTCTGTCAGATATAGAACCCATTTCTTGTATCATGTGACAGACATCTGGGTCTGGGAACACACAGTTGCCTCCAGAAGCAATCCCCAAAGGTTCAAAATGCAAGCCGCACGTTGCTTGCAAGATCAAAGGCACATGTCTGTGAGACAGAGGTTTAGAAGATATTTACAACACGGTCCACCCACATCCATCCATGGTGCTTTCCAGAGCTTTGCAAACCTGGCTGTGTGTTACGCAAGACACACAGTAAAACACTTCTTCACAGCATCCCTGGGAGGAAAAAACACAAAGAAAAACACGAGATCATCAACCCAAAGCCTCCTGTAAGTGGTAAGGGCCCTCCTTGAGATTTCCTGGGCACCCAGAGTAGCATGCTGCATAGCAAAAAGCTTCTAGATTATGAGGTCAGATCTACATGGCATCAACTTCAACATCTATTAGCAATGTTAAACTGGGCAAGTTACTTGACTTATTTGAATTTCAAATTCTCACCTATAAAAGGGCACATTCCCACCTATCCTACTGACCAGTTCAGGGATTAACGCACTGAACAGAGGAGGTATTTAATAAACAACAGCTATCTCGACAATCAGAGAAAAAAATAGGAAGAAAGCAGAAACTTTCTGAAACCAAAAAATTAGTCAGGACTGTGTACTTTAATATCAACCAGAAGCACAGAATGCACTAAAAGCATTAAATAAAATAGGCTCTGGGGCCTTTCTTCCTTCTGAGTAGGCAGCAGAAACTTGTTAAGAGGCATCGTGCAGTCCCTAGCACATGGAGCTCTCTCTGAGGACTGACACTTGTGACCCTGCTGTGTCAGCCCTACCTCGGGCACCTACTCCTTGGAATGCAGTGTGGAGCATGCAGGAAAAGTGAGGGCTCAGCAAGCTCCCATGCCCACCACGCAGGCACGTCCAGCCCACCACCACATCTAAGGCTTCTCACCCAAGCCCTATTCTCTGTGCTCTCAGCTGCACCTGTGCTGAGGACCTGAGGGCGGGAGCATGAGAGAATGCTTTCACGTGAACAGACACTGTGTTTTACGATCAAGATCATTCTAGGACTGCGTTTCTTAAGATCTGCTCCACACTGAAGCCCCAGCAGATGCACGAGAAAGTGTTTTATGATCAAGGAAGACACCTCATGGCAGCTCACAATATACATAACATATTAAGGGACCTGGAAAGTCTATTCACACAGCCTTTAACACAATGAGCTGGTTAACTTCCTGTCTAATCAGTCACTCCCCAGCATCTTCTGGTCACTGTCAGGCACAGGCTTGGAAGGCGTTGAAACTTAAGCCTGTTCTTCCTCATTCCCAGCTCTCCCACACTTCTCATTTCCTTAACACAGTTAAGAAAAAGCCCCTTTTTAGTTAACAGGTTATAAAAGAATGGAAATTAAAGGGTGACATGAGAACAGACTCAGAGATAGAGATCACTGAAAGTGCTAATTTAAGGAGTTCTTGAGGTCAGAAGCTCAGAGTGAGAAGGGGTGAAACTATTCTTAGTTATCATGAGTCCTTTCAGGCCAAGGTGGGGTCAAATGAGTTGCCCAAGGTCACACTGTTAATTAGGAAACCATAGTCCTCCAGAGTTCTGGCCCTGCTTACTTCTCTTTATGAATTCTTTTCTGAAATGTTCCATCAATGGGATAGGGCAAGAAAACAAGCATGAACCTTTCATCCTTTGCTCAGTGATTATTAAGGTGATAATCACCTTTAAGAAAATATCCACAAAGTTACAGGTTTAAAAAGTGATAAGGAATCTATTTATCTATCACAGCAGAATGTTCCCAGCATCAGGAACTGGCAGACGTTGGTCAATGATCATCACTGGTTGTATTACAGGTGGGGCTGGGGATGAGCCTTAGCTTACAAATGTATAAAATCATAAAACAGGTGTATGTGAAGTGAAGCCGCTCAGTTGTGTCCGACTCTTTGCGACCCCGTGGACTGTAGCCCCCAGGCCCCTCGGTCCATGGGATTGTCCAGGCATGAACACTGGAGTGGGTTGCTGTTTCCTTCTCCAGGGGAATCTTCCTGACCCAGGGATCGAACCCGGGTCTCCCACATTATAGGCAGACGCTTTACCATCTGAGCTACCAAGGAAGCCCAAAATAGGTGTATAACATCTGCTTGTTTGTCTCAAGGGTTTTTAGTAAATATGTAATAGCATGAGCTCTATAAATCCACCCTAAACTAAAAGGACCTGTGCAAACATATCCTCATCCCCAAATAATTGACGTTACAGTCCTAAAGAGAGTCAGTCTTACCTTGCAAATGGTATGTAGGAAAGACTGTACCTACAATGAAAAACAAACAAAAGATCTAGTCAGATGAAGGGAGCGGACGATTACACGGTGAACTGGGCTTCTGAGCACCTGCAATGTGCGGAGGGTGCATGAACACACACACATACCCCTACACACACACACACACACACACACACACACGGTGTCATGTGTATAACAGGGAAGCGAGGGTCATCTGTAATCAAAGCGGGGGCAAAAGGCCCATGCGGCGGTAACTGTCACCTCAGCCTCACGGGGTTAATCTTTAACCAAAGAGCCAGCAACACAACACACAGATTCCAGATACCCTAGAAGCCCTATTCTTACAGAGCACTAAATAAGATCCAGATCCGTCGTCCCCTAATATTTTACAAACCCTCAGCAGAATGCACCTTCGACCCAGCTGGGATAGACTCTCTGCTCTTGCCTATGAATTGTAAAAGGAGTGAGGAGAGCATTGGTGAAGTGTGGGGGAGCACGCTGCCAGCGGCTCTGTGGATGAACATGTAGGCAAGCTGTGATTCTTCTTTTATAAAATATGATTCTTTAAGAACCATAGATCTCCTGGTGGTCTCAGTTAACTCAGCCCCTTCCCCAGGAGGGAACCACACAGGGAGGAAGCTGGCCACATCCCAAAAGACCAGGTCTGGGTGTCAGGCAGGCTGGAAGTCAACCAGCCCTAAGAAGGCATATATAGTTGGAACACATCAGCGTTGTAACAACAGGGCCATTTGCCTGTGCCCATGTGAATGCCAAACCTTTAAAAACTGGCTTCATAATCAGTCTATAAGCAAAGAAAGGCATGTGCATGTGAGGACTAATTTCTGCCTCCAGAAGAAAACCAAAATACAAACATAAGCCATTTCACCAGGCCCTTTCAATACATTAACACACTGTATGTGTTATATTAAAATCAGGCCACCCTTCTCTGATTCTGACACTCACCACGTACAGAAGCTCACTTACTTGGAACAGAGTAAATGCCAAAAGGATTTTGAAAGTTTACTCAAAACATTTATTTAAAATGTTTATTAAACATTTTAAAATGTTTAAAAATATTTAAAATAAACATTTAAAATGTTTATTTAAAATGGACATGTATTCAAAAGTCCAAAATTACTAAAAGGAAGAATGGATGTCAAGCATGTAGTCTCAAGATTGAATTCTATCAAATAAGACTACACTTGATCCCTGGAAGTTTTAAAACTTTTAGTCCTCCTTTCTTTGCGTTAGAGCCAACATTTTTTTCCCAAAGTAGATCTAGTCACATTTTTATGAAACTGTCCTGGCAGATATCATCCTTTGATAAGCTGTGAACATACTACGGAAATGTCTCAGAAGCTCAGAAGCTATTATTCCCATACATGCTTGGACAGGTTTGAAAGGGCCATGAACCGACAGCACCACCCACGGTTTTGATCAATAACGTCCCCAGGGGTCCCTTCTGTATGCTTGGGCTCTGGGCCACAATTCTCTGGTCGTGCTACAGCCCACAGCCACAAGGTTTTCCATTTCATCAGTCGCTGTTCCTGGACAGTGACACTTTTTGTCCTTCTGTTAAATGATTCATCCAACCATAAATATAACACTCATGATTTTTTTTTTTTTTGCCAGTTTCCTTTTTTTTTAAAGTCTATTTGACTCACAAGTCTCTTTTTACCAGCCCCTACAATGCTTCATTGTCCTTCCTCTTACTGGACGTGAATGGTTGAATAATGTTAGCAACATCTCAAAATCAACCCTGAGGCCAGCAAAAATGCCGCAGTGGGCAACTGGCCTCCGACGACCACTCAAGACCACTAAGGCCACCTACTGGCAGCGGGCTGAGATGACAGGTTTTGGCTCTACAGTGTACTTGACTTGCATCATTAAGGATTTTTAAATTGAAAAGCTTTTGTGTTCCTAATCCTCCTGCCCACATCATGTGGGATTTTATCTCCTTCAGCTGCATTAGTCAGAGACGATGTGGGAGGGGACTGCTGAAAAGGTTACTTACCACGTCAGGGCCAGAGACTGCAAAATGCAGAAGATGAGAGCAAGCCCTTTGTTGTGCCACTGGAATAAAAATGATATGGTTACAGGAATGTGTATGACAAGAAGCACACACCAAAAAGGTTAAGGAAAATTAAAAAAAACACTTACCCAAAAGGCAGAACACAGGGTAAGTGCAAAACACAACTAGAGAGAGAATGGAAACTAATTAATATAGTGACAATGACAGCAGGGAGGGGAAAAATTGTAAAGACGTCATTCTTGACAAACTTACAACAGCACATCAAACTGCAGTAATCAGATTCTGTGACTATTACAGCAACCAAATGCAACCATTATCTCAAAGCATCTAAGCTACCTCAGAACCCATGTTTTGGCAGAAGAGTTCAAATGAAACTGAATAAGGATTCATGTAGATTAAAAAGAGAAGGAGGATCCTCTTCTACTTTCAAATTTTCTCAAAATCTCTGCCCAGCAAATACAAGCACATTTCTGGACTACCCATCCATCCATCTTTCCATTCAAATGTGCATTCAAATGTGAAGTTTAACACACACTTCTTTATAGTCTCTGGAGTAGAAAGGGCATGCAAGGACAAAGGTTAACATGAGATGTCACTCTCAGAGCCCATGAGTCAGTTATCTGTTTGTATCTGTTTACAGCTAACACTTTCCCCAAGTCCTTTCTAGTCTTCTTTTTTTCTGGCTGAGCCGCACAGCTTGTGGGATCTTAGTTCCTTGACCAGGGATTGGACTCAAGTCATGACTGAAAGCACAAAGTCCTAACCGCTGGACTGCCAAGGAATACCACGCCTTCCCCTCACCCCTGCATGCTTTCTGAGAAAGTTCTTTCAGAAAGAGATTCCTCCAGCTCATCTACTTCCAGGGCTGGCCAAGAACAATTAATCCAGCTGTCAGTCATGCTTATCCTCTCTATCCTGCTGTATCAGTAATTGTTCAATAAATATGATGGAAATAAATTGGTGTCCAGCATTGTACCTGATGCTCTGAAAGAACACAAAATAGTTGCAATGGACTTTTACCTATCTGAGCAAATGAGATGTACACAAATAAAACTAAAAATAGAAGTATAGGGATCAAGTTACAATACCGCAATACTGATAATTATAACAGAAGTCCAGACAATATGGTCTGGAATGATGGGATGGTCCAAGGGAATAAAATGGCCCAAGGAAGAGAGAAGCATTCCCCATTAGGGAGAGAAAGACAGGACAAGACTTAAGGCACTATGGTGACCAGCAGGAAACAGGGGTGCTGAGCCAGAGGGAGACCAGACCCACCGTGGGAAAATTGACAAAAACAAACAGAATTCCAAAGTCAGATAATGACAAGGAGAAAAAGAGACCATGTTAGACTGGATACCCACTCTAGAGAATGACCCCTGTGTTCCTGGGTAATGAATGCCCTCCTAGCTCTGCTTGTAGGCGGCAGCACCTATTACCAGAAGGATGCCACAGCTCTCTTATTACCACATGACTGCATGCATGCTATGTTGCTTCAGTCACGTCCAACTCTTTGTGACTCTATGGACTGTAGCCTGCCGGGCTCCTCTGTCCATGGGATTCTCCAGGTAAGAACACTGGAGTGGGTCGCCATGCCCTACTCCAGGGGATCTTCCCGACTCAGGGATCGAACTCACGTCTCATGTCTCCTGCATTGGCAGGCAGGCTCTTTACTCCAAGGGCCACCTGGGAAGCCCATTACCACATTGAGTTCGACTAAACTGACAAGCAAAACCTTCTGGGAACTTTACTGAACAGGCAATACCTCATACCAACTAAAACACAAGTCAGAGGGAAGAGAAAAATTATTAGATAAAGAATGCTCCTGGGACTTCCCTGGTAGTCCTGTGGTTAAGACTCCTCACCCCCAATGGAAGGGGCCCAGGTTCAATCCCTGATGGGGGAACTAGATCCTGCATGCCACAACTAAAACCCAGCACAGCCAAATAAATAAATAAAAATAAATTTTTAAAAAGGGATGCCCCCTTCTGCCACAGTGGGTACAGACATTGGGTTGTAAGTGAAGATGAAAGAGAAAAGGGTAGAACTCTATAGATTTAAGAGGAAAAAAACTCCGAGCAGCAGGAACAAAACCCCCTATTTTAAACAGGTAACTTCTGTCGCCTGACAGGCAGACCTTACCAGCACCATGATAGTGGCAATCAAACGCGTAGGCTCAAACATTCGCTTCAGCTGTTTCATTGGTCCCATGAGGAAGGCGGTGCTGAGGAGTAAACACAGACAAGCCATTCAGACCAGAACAAGCCCACACTGGGAACACCAAGGCGCCTCCTCATCGCCTGCTGCAGCTCACCTGTGGCAGTGGAGCAGTGACAGTAGCCAGCACTTGAAAGGCTCTGTGCCAGGTGCTGTGTCAGGGCCGTTGTGCCTGATTCTCATTCAACCCACTAACAGTTTATGAAGTGATCACAGAACAATTACCGTACTTGTTTTGCAGATGAAGAACCTTGAATCCAGAAGTACTTATTACCTATCAGGGCCATCCAACTAGAAAATGGTAGAGGGATGCTGCAGATGCATGCCGGCCTGACTCCAGAACTACCCCATAACCACTAGGCTAGAGGACCCCTCTCTCACAGGCGCCACCTTGGCCTGCTTAACAACCTACCCACGGAGACAAAAAGACTCAGGGAACTGAAAAAGGGAAAAACATGTCTTACAGGCTTAGGTAGTTTATGTTAATAAGTAGAGAGTTCCATTTTCTTTCATAATCTCCAGAGAATAATTCTAATAATGGTAGTAGTAGCATCCATGATGTGTGGACTATTTGCTAAATGCTAGATATCACATACATGATTCCATTTCATCCTCTCAACTACTCTGGCAGTTAGGTATTATTACACTTATTTTAGAGCTGAGAAAATGAAGTTCAGAAAGGTTAATTTACTTGTGTAACGTTCCAAGATCACACAGCTAGGCACTTAAACAAGCTGGCATTCCAGCCCACATCTATTGGATTACCAAGCTCCAAAGGACAGGCTCAGCATGTCTTCTGCAGGGATGAAATTTGAGAGGCGGCTAATAAGAAAGAGTAAACACAAATGAAGCAGACTCGCCTAACACACCAAGAGCCAGGGCCAGCTATAAGTCATGCTTCCTGACTCCTGACAGAAGCGTCACTCCAGGAGTAGCTGGCTATAGTCAGTGTTCAACCACAAGCCAACCAGAAGATGACACTGGCTACTAAGTGTTCTATAAAAAAAATTTTTTTTTAAAGTTAAATAAATCTGCCTCTCTTTGAAGTGCCATTAGGTTTCCACTTGAATTCAAGGCTGCTAGGTCAAGTGTTAGAGCTGAGTGCACCCATAAGCCTACACTGAACAAGAAACAAGAGCCAAAGGTAGACTTCAAAATTAAACGCAGCACGTATACAAAAATATAAAAGATTACAGGTAAAGCCACAAACTCCTAGACACATGCTGAAATAATTCACTCCCTTTATTATCTCCCCAAGCAACGGCATGAAGGGTCAGTTCCATTAGGATTTGTTAAATAGTTCTTTTGGACTAACACACCTATATATTTCTGCTCAATCTAGACTCTACATTATAACCTACGCGGCCTACCCAAAACAAAACTCCCCAAAAGTTAGTCTTTGAGAGAGCTTTAAAGCAAGATTAGACATCTCAAGGTCCAGCATTATACTATCATAAAGAAAGTGAAAGTGAATTCACTCAGTCGTGTCCGACTCTTTGCAACCCCATGGACTGTAGCCCACCAGGCTCCTCCGTCCATGGGATTCTCCAGGCAAGAATACTGGAGTGGGGTGCCAATGCCCTCTCCTATATCCCATGTTGGTCCATTCTATTGTTTAAACAGCTCATCTGGGATGAAAATGAATGGGGAAGGGAAAAAGGAGCANAAAAAAAATAAAAAATAAAATAAAAATAAAGGTGGAGGTCAGTGATTCTGAAGGGGAAAATGGAATTAAAAGAGGTTTCACAGAGGAGGTGACTTTTGAGTCAGGTATTGACAAATAAGCAAGTACCCATCAAATATGGGTTGCACATGGGCCAGGGCCCCAGGCAGAGAAACAGTCCCAGCAAAGAACAAACACATCTGGGGGAAATACAAGTTGAGCCTGGTTGAGGAGGAGGCCTGGAAGGGTCTGTCCCACGTGCACCCTGAGGGGTTCGGACTTCACCTGTTGAGAGGAAATGGGGGCCCACTAAAGGGGGTAAGTTGGGCTACAAAATGAGTGACTCCACAGTTCTGTGGAAAATGGCCCGGCGAGGGGTCCATAAAAGAGACAGGGAAGCCCGACAGGAAACTCATACAGTCTTCAGAGCAGCAGTGATAGATGCCAGAGCTCTGAGCAGCTCTGACAGCACCTTCTCCACAGAAAGTCCTCTTGGCTCCCCAAGTTGGGTCAGATCAGCTCAGCCCACCTGCCCCTCTCCCAGGCATCACTCTCTCCATATGCTACATGTCTGTCTGCCTGGCCGACCAGTGAGGAACCCAACGCTGTTTGTCTGTGAATCCTCTGAGCCCAGCACAAGGTGGGAGCACGTAAGTCCATCAGCGAGGAGCAGAACATAAGACGAGAGCAGTGGGGAAGGTGGTGTTGGAGACGGTGGAGCTGTAAATAGTGAAGAAGTCATTCAACTGCTCTGCTCCGTGTAAAATTACAGTGGTAACTTTTACAAGTGGTTCTTGCCTCCTCCCAAGGGTAATTCAAAGATGAACTAAGATGTAAATACATGCCGAAGTTAAAAATACATATGTATACATAGAAGTGATAGGATATGAAAGTGATGTGTTTTAACGACCTCTTTACTCTCCAAATCCTTATAATTACTGACGCATCCTCCTTCACCTCCCGCTGAACACAATCTACATCCATTTCCCCATCTAATAATTGGCTAAGGTTAGATTTTAAAAAAAACAAAACTGTTACCTCCCAAGAGATGCGATGTTACCAAAGGTATAAAACACTGCGAAGAGATACAGTCCCTTCCTGGGCACCCAGAGCAAAAGGGTTCCCTGTAAGACAAGGCACAGGGCATTTGCATGAGGATCCCCTCCTAGCACAGCCGCAGAAGCAGGATTCACAGAGCAACCTGCTCCCTCCCTGCACCCCCTAGCTCCCTCTGCACCTCTGTTACCTCCCCTCCTCTCGTCCATGCATTTCAGTGAAAAACAAAGGAGAAAAGGAGGTTGATGAAAGTGGAAAGAGGAGAGAAGAAAGGCAGGGAAAAGATTGGAAGAGGGGAGAGAGGTCTTACCAGAAGTGAGCAGAGAATTCCTAAGGCAAAACAGGCAATGAAGCCTTTTATTCTGGTGCCCGAGCTTAATGAAGTTGCCTCAGCAACCTAAAATAGTTAAAAAAAAATAAATAAAAAACTNAAATATTGGGTAAATATTAAATTAATTAAAATTAATTAATTCATTTCAATGTATGACAAAAACCACTGCAATGTTGTAATTAGCCTCCAACTAATAAAAATAAATGGAAAAGAAAAAAAATAAAATTAAAAAAAAACTAATTACATACATGTGTATGCATATTTAATCACCAAAACAAAGGATACACATAATTAAATCTGGAATTTGTACTGAGGAAGGCAGGAACACGGCCTCCTACTTGGTCACGTCTGCAACAGCCCTCGTGAGTCACTGAATCCAGCTCCTGATCCGTCCCATGAATCTCTTCTCCTGTAGCTAATTAGAGGCTACCAAGCTTCTGGCTGGATATCTCCAGAGGGGAAAACTCTCTGCCTTAAGCACCATGCACACAGAAAGGCGAGACTGCAGAAGGTCCCAAGGTAGCCCGAGCCCTGACGGCAGCCCAGGCAAGATGAGGAGCACGCCTGGACAGCGTGAGCTCTGCCTGAAGAGACCAGGAAGCGGGGAGGACACAGGGGTGCACTCAGGCAGTTGGGTCCATGCGGCACTATCTCCTAACTCAGCCCGCCAAGTTTTGTCGCTCACTGCTTTTGCTGGCCCTTCCAGGACCCGGAAGGAGTCTCTCATCCTAATCAGGATTCTTATCCAAGTCTATGCACTCTTGGTAGAAACTGTTCTTCAAGGTGTTGGCATCAGCCAAGCCACCCTCATGGGAGATGGATCCTAGTTAATTAATGACTGTCCTGCTCATCCCTCTCTGCCACCACGATTAATCCTTCCCAAGAGCAAAGTTCAGAAGAGGCCAAGATTTCCAGAAAAACTCTGCTAAAGCAAGGGAGCCTATGAGTGGCTCTTGAGGCTTTTTTCCTCACGTCAAAATGACAGTTAGGTGTCTGCACCAGAGGCATGAGGCCTGTTCAACCTCATGCAGCGGCCACAGCTGTTCCAAGTTTCACAGGCAGCTGCCAGGGAGACCAAAGGCCTTTTCCCCAGCCCAGCTGAGGCAGGGCAGCCAGGCCCCATGTATATTCATTCACCCAGGCCTCACCTCAAGTGGACAGCACAGTCTCCACCAGGCCGTGTGGTAAGAGCTTACAGACTCCACGTTCCCACAGCTAATGGAAGAAGGTTGTGTGGTGGAGGCTGCAAAGGTCGCTAGATGGGCACCGCCCTGACTGCTCCCAGTCCCAGGGTTGGACTGTTCTCAACCCTGTCTCCAAACTTCCTGTCCAACCAGAAGCCAGAAGAACAGGACCAGAGGCTCCCGCAGGCATGGCAAGATTTGCCACCGCATGGCTTCCTCTCCACTCACAAGAAAAGTATTTAGAGCAGCTTATCAAAAGGGGCGCTCCTGTCCCATCTATTCACACACATTGAAAGTGGGCTCGGGACACGGCAAACCCCGCCACGTACACAGGCACACAAGGGGCACCTGCGGACACGCGTGGCGACAGAAGGACGAGCGGCGCGCTCAGAGGTGGCGGCGGGGCTCAGGAGCTGACCGCGAGCCGCCCGATGCCACACTCTGCCCCAGAGCGAGCCTCGTGATGCCCAGCTGCCAGGCTTGACCGGCAGCCCAGGAAAGCCGGGTAGACCCTTTTCCAACCTCCTGCCGGGGACAGAGGAAAAAAATCAAAAGCTACCAGTCTAGCTCGGGACACGGCAAACCCCGCCACGTACACAGGCACACAAGGGGCACCTGCGGACACGCGTGGCGACAGAAGGACGAGCGGCGCGCTCAGAGGCGGCGGCGGGGCTCAGGAGCTGACCACGAGCCCCCCGATGCCACACTCTGCCCCAGAGCGAGCCTCGTGATGTCCTGCTGCCAGGCTTGACCGGCAGCCCAGGAAAGCCGGGTAGACCCTTTTCCAACCTCCTGCCGGGGACAGAGGAAAAAAATCAAAAGCTACCACTCTTGCTACTCATGCAAGCACCAAAGAAGGAGCTTGTCAAGACAGACAAAGGAACAGAGCTACATGAGAAAAAAAAAACCTGTGGTAGCAAGATGGGATAGGATTGCTTGGCATCTACAGAGACATTTTAAGAGTCACCTGTTTTTTAAAGAGGATAAGCCATAAAGTATCAATCTGACATGGCCTTGGCACTTAAAGCACAAAATAGCCTCAAAAGGATGATGAGATGCCAGCTCTTGTAAAAATTAAAATCATTTGTTATAGGAAGAAGTTCTGGTTTCTACCTTAAGAAAGGAAAGTAACATGTCGCTTCTACACGCCTCTCAAGCTGACTACCATCCAAAGGTCACCCTATTTGCCAAAATGAGGGAGGGGGCCAAAATTGTTCATCGATGTAATGGGAAGTTCTTTACACCCGTGCTTGGTCTCAGGCCAGAGGAAACTGTTGATGTTGCTTCACTTCCAACTGGACCCAGCAAAAACCAAGCACGACGTTTTGTCAGTTTGTGAAGATCAACCGTGTTGATGCAAAATAACTCCCTAAATTCACAGTCTCTAGAAACTGCTAGTGCACTTTTTGGAAATTAGAGTAGTTGGAATAGCACATGGATAGAAGCTGTATGCAAACAGCTCCCAGGCTCTCTGACTGGTAGTTATGCACAAAGGTCCCTTTGACTCTGGGATGTGGAGAGAAGAGGGGCTCTTGCCAAAATAACAAAAAAACTGAGACTCATTCAGGAAAACAGGATTGGTAACCAGAAGAAGGTGAGAAAGGAATACTGCTTCATTCCTGTGCTTTCAAACCAGGTACCATTCAGACCTTCCTTGTCCCTACAATCCTGTAGAGACAACACAAAGCCTCTATTTTCAAAAAGCTCACAGAAAATAAAGGTTGAAGTTGACTTTATGAAGACCAGGTTATCAATTAGAAAACTCATCAGGAACCCATCTGTGACTAGACATTACCAGGCAAGTTTTATAATTCTGCAGTTTCATAAGTAGGAGAAACAGAACTAATCATACTTCTATTGTTTGAATTAAAAGAATAACATTTTTTAAAGGCACTCATTTCTGGTGACATCTGACAGCTTTTATAATTGAATGTAAACTCTTGAGAAACCTGTATGCAGGTCAGGAAGCAACAGTTAGAACTGGAAATGGAACAACAGACTGTTTCCAAATAGGAAAAGGAGTACATCAAGGCTGTATATTGTCACCCTGCTCATTTAACTTATGTGCAGAGTACATCATCTGAAGCACTGGGTTGGAGGAAGCACAAGCTGGAATCCAGATTGCCGGGAGAAATATCAATAACCTCAGATACGCAGATGCCACCACCCTTATGGCAGAAAGTGAAGAAGAACTAAAGAGNGCAGGAGGAGAAGGGGATGACAGAGGATGAGATGGCTGGACGGCATCTCCAACTCAATGGACATGAGTTTGGGTAAACTCGAGGAGTTTGTGATGGACAGGGAGGCCTGGCGTGCTGGGGTCGCAAAGAGTCAGATACGACTGAGCGACTGAACTGAAAGAGACTTTAAGTTCACCGAGTCTAACTTCACACACACACACACACACACACACACCACAGAAATTTCACCAGCATCCTCAAGCCTTAAAAGCATAGGAAATGTGAGACAAGACCAACATTGTCAAGGTGGCCTGGACCTAATAAGTAAAAACTAGGCCAAAAACAACCCTGAGAGTGATTCAGGTGCATGCAAAATGCTTCCTGGGAGTTGGGACTCAGGAAGTGCCACACAGTGATGTATGTAATCAGGAATCTCACACTCAAGAGAGAGGAAACTGACAGCAATATTTTAGAACAAGAGAGAAGCACCTAGTCTTCCCAAAACAGACTTTACATGCCTGGGCTTACAACTCTTTAAAGCCCTTCATTGTATCCAACATAGGCATTCACTATTTTAGGTAAAAACAAACTCATCATTTATATTTTCAATCTGTACTACCATCATTCATTCTTGAGGGTCTACCACTTCATGATGGTTTTCTAAATAAAAATAACTGCATAATTCCCACTGTCCCCCCACAAGAATCCTCAGGAAAAGAAAACATCTCCCTTTTGAACCCCAGCTGCTTTAAAAACTTATTGACAGTCTGTGCAGCATAAAACTTAAGATAAGCATGACTGTCAACCATCTAAATTCTCTTAGGCCTAGTCTGAGGTTGGGCTTAAGGGTTCATATTAGAAGCCAGAAATCAAGAACAAGGAACTAATGAAATGACTTCTGAGCCTTGACCAATTAATAAAGGCAATAGATTTAAAAGAAGCCAGAGGCTGCTTTGAATTGTCCAAAAAAAGTTAAACCCCAATTCTTGTAACACTCAACATCTATAGTGTTACTTCTTCAAGATGAAGATTCAGACAGCAAGTTTCAGGGTTCTGAGATTTCATGGAGGGGTGGGGCTATCAGGGTCACTCAACATAAAATCAGCAAATGCAAAACCAGGTGAAAGCAGCATGCTGAGAAAACCAATAAAGACAAGGATGAAAATCGGAGGAAAAACTTAGGTACAAAGTTGAAAGAAGCTATATTATCTTGTGCAACGGCTTCTTTTTACAGATGAGAAAACCAAGGCCCATAGAATAACAAAAAAAAAGAATAAAGAGAAATGTTATTTTGTCATCCACAAAGGAAAAAAAAAAAGTTCAAAGCATTAGAAATAGGCAATAAACACACTGTGTAGCTCTAGAACATAGCGGGTAATATTGCCCACGTTTCAGCTCGACCAAACCTTTCCAGCAAACTAAACACACAAGCAGGCGGCCTCAAGAGGTTTTGGGCGTCTATGAGGTCTAAGACGTCTATGTGCAGGCAGAGAAACAAGACGCGGTCCCAAAGCTCCAGGAATTTACGGTTTTCCTGGAGACAATTTACAGCAACAGTATACACAAACGTTGGGTGGGCATGTCACACTCCACAACTTAAACCGAGCAAGAACGCAGCGGGGAGCACCAGGGTGCGGCGCGCAGTGGGCATCGAGCAGGGACCCTCACCAGGGCCTAGCCCAGGCAATCTATACGAGGACTCCCTCCGTCAGCTTCTCAGAGGCCTCTGCCTAGCTCGGCTCTAAAGCCTTTTCCCCGGCCAGCAGGAACGGGGCCGCCGATAGCCACCCTTCCTTCCGCATTTGTTTCTAGGTTTCGATCCAGCGTGGCCCTCCCCTTGTCGGGGGTTGGGGCGCGGAAGGTTGAAAGGGTGAAGGACAAAAAAGTAAACAGGTGCCAACCGCCCTAAGCAACCTGGGCCCTGGCACTTGGGGCTGAAAGTGAGGGGAACGCGAAGGTCTGGAGCCTGCAGGGGAGGAGAAAGGGGCAGAGGCAGAGTTGCTTTCCAAGAAATCCTAGAAGTCCAGCATCCTTTTCTCACCAGCCAGCAACAAGAGCCGGCGGAGCTGGGGGGCGGGCTTGGTGCTCTCCGAGGCCCCCGACGGACCTTCCACCGCTGCATGGGAGCAGCAGCCGCGGGGCGGAGGAGAGTGCGACCAGGAGGGTGGAACGCCAAGGTGCACTCACCTCGGACAGGCCGCCCCGGTCCTCGGTGTCCTGCCCGCTCAGCACCTTCTTCAGCTTGTCCATGGCGGGACTGGTCCACCCGGCTGCCCCTCCAGCCGCCTGTTGCGCTGGCTAAGTCGCAGGTCCTTCCGGGTGCTGCCCCAGCCGCCGCCAACCACAGCGCGCCCCGCCCAGGTACCTGCCCACCTGGCTCCTGCCCACGCAGGCGCCCAGCGAGGCCACCGCCCACAGCCCGCCTACGCCCGCCCTCTTTCTCCTGGCGATTTTGTGCGGGGAAGGAGGGGTGGGCAGGAAGAGCTGGATTTAAGGTCTGCCGAGCTAGGATGCGTTGCGGTTCTGCGTCCAGCGCTGCATTCCACACTCCAAGCGGCAGCCCTCCCTTCCGGGGGCCCTCCGTAGGTTCAGCTGACAAACGCGGAGTCCCTAGCACATGAAAGGCACTGCAGAAACGAGACTGACGCCTGGAACCCATCTTCCTGTGCCCCACACTCCCTCTGGTGTGGGTGCAAACTTATAAACAAATGCTGTGAGGAGTCTGCATTCTTGTCCTAGTTACAGTGTAAACAACTGTTTAAAAATCGATTGAGGCAACTGGAGTAAATTTAATCTAATAAGCTTTATGGAAACGTTAACAAAAACACTACAGTCTTTCCAACTGGAAATGCATCCAGAAGACTGATTTTGGTAGAAAGGAGTAGAACTTGCTTGAGGGAGTGCCATCTATATTAATTAGATTGTTTTGTGTTTTTTGGTGTTGACTAAAAAAATTAGTCACAACCTAAAAGTAGAGAGTTATTTTATTTCGTGGGAATGTTAAGGACTGAGCCTGGAAGACTGAGCCTGGAAAATNCTGCTGGATGGCAGGCATTGTGTTCCATTTTGGGAGACTTCATTCAGATTTGGAGGCCTGAAATCACTGATGGCTGTGACATTTCTTGCTCACCATATGGCAGAAAATATTTCATTTCACCTTGGTTTGTTTTACTGAAACCAGACTCCAGTGCTCATGATTCTATGTTGGAGAATCCATGTTACCCTCAGATGGTGCCATAGACAGGACACGGTCTCATGTCTCAAACTGCTTGCTGGTAAATGTCTGGAAAACTAATTTCAAGTTTAAAAAGGCTTAGAAAAAAGAAATCCACAGGGAGAGTACCAGGGGCACCCACTAGAGAATCTCCCTATACCCTCTTTCCCCACCATGAACACACACACCCAGGAGAACATTCATGAAAGAGCCGTAATGCCGTGTCTGAATGGAGAGAATTTAGGCGTTACCGAGAGCTTGGACCTTTAGAAAGTATTGTAAATCAGCCAAGCAAGAGGATTTGCACAGGACCCTATGCAATCAGTCAAATGGCTGTAGTTATACCTTTGTGGTTTCATCTTTATGGTTAGGCTATGCTTTATAATTTTAGTTCACACCTGAGATCTTGAATAACAAATGCTATTTCTCTTGCCTGGATGCTCTTTACCCTCTTGTTTCACTCAAGTAAATTCCTACACGTCTTTCAAGACTCTTCAAATATAAGGACAGAGTGAAAAGTCCATCCATAGTGGAATTAGGAAGATATGAGTGTTAAACATCTTACCATCACTTACTAGCTGTGTAACATTGAGCAATTTACCTAACCTCTCTGGTCCTCAATTTTCTCATGCATAAAAGGGACACAAATAACTACCTCTGCAAATTACTGTGGGCAGTAAACACGACAGCACATGCAGCAGGTCTGGAACATGGCAGGCATTCAGCTAACAGCTAATGGAAGTTAGCATTAGTCTGCCTGGTCCTCTGAAGCCTTCTCTAGGCCACGCTGACAGCAGTTGCCCTGTCCTCTGTGTGCCGGGGTCCCTTACGCACACCTATAAACACCTACCTCGCAGTGTTACCTTTGTTACACGTCTGTCTCCTCTACATTGTGAGACCCTCACAGCACCATTCGTTTCTTCATTCTCTGGGCCCAGAAAACACCCACAAAACAGGTGCTCAGTAAACTCACACTGAGTGAGTGAATGAATGAACGAGAAACTTTGCCTCTGTCTTTTGCAGTTCAGTGAATTTAACAGCCAGATTGGCAGATATGGTGACACTTAAATGGCTATGCTATGTAACTCAGCAGAGAAAGCCTATTTTTGTTAGCAAAGTGAGACCCACTGGTCTGCCTTCCGCCTCCACCCCAACTCTGCATTCATCAGAGTCAGTGAGATTTTGATAAGAAAGACCATGCTCGTAATCTCACCTTATGCCTAAGATTAGTTTTTCTTTTTCGGCTGAGTAGGGATAGACTCTGCTCTTGGCCCAGGCTGGCAAGGGAGCCTGAAAACCACAAACACATGCACACATGCATTAAAGAACACAGGACACTCTGGTTATTTGCGATCTCACACTCAACACTGTGACACCCCGTTCTCGTGGTTAACATAGCTCAGGTCCCAGGGAGCTCTTTATCCATCGCCAGTGTCCTTGAAACAAAAGGCAGCAACATCTGAATGCTGTGAAATTCCTAGGTTGTGCCAGTACCTGTGCAGACAGAGACTGCCTCACCAGTGAATACAAACAATGGAAGAGCTTAGGTAATAGAAGAAAGATAAGTCCACTTCTCAGATCCCTCCACTAAGATTCCTTGAATGCAATAGATTCTTGTATAAGAACATACCATCTCCCAGCACTACTAAATAACCATTTTCTTATTTTTCTGCAGGCTCTAATTTAAGATCCCAGAGGTACCCATAAATTAATTCAGTATTTGCAGCAGTTCACATGGAGGATGGCAAGTATTTCGCAAAATTAAACAATTCATATTACTCTTTAATATGAACACACATAAAGTACATGAAACATGACACTTGATATTGAACACTAGAATCATAACTTTAATAAGATTTCATTACATTTTCAAAATGTCAAGTGAAAAGTTTCAACTTTATTTAAATACTTGATATTCGATGCTTAAGGTTTATTAAGCATAAATTATATTTCTTCCCTTTAACTTTTGATTTTGAACATTTTAGAAAAATTACTCTTGAAAACATAAAAAAGTGACAATTTTATTTGAAAATTGAATTTATGTTGTTATGATAATATATTCCAGTGGCTTTTAAAATAGTATTTACATATATGGACTTCCATTTGTACAATTTCTCAGGCCCTGCAAATCTTAGAGGAACACTTACTTGGAAGTGGTCCACTCAAAGGACTTCTGAGTTGTCTGAGGGGAAATGCTAGATGGATTCAGATATAAAAATACAAACACTTTCTGTTTTGGTTTTTTTTTCTTTAGTTTTTTTATTTTATATTATAATTGATCTACAATGTTGTATTCCTTTCACATATACAGCAAAGTGGTTCGGTTATGTAATATTATTTTTCAAATTCTTTTCCTATGCAGGTTATGACAGAATGTTGAGTAGAGTTCCGTGTGCTGAGAGAGTTAAAGCTTAGGGCCCTTTAAGCAGGAGGTGAGCATTCTTGCTCATGCTTTCCTTGAGATTTGTGCAACAATGTACCCAGTCCGAGAACTGGCCTTTTTTATATCCAGAACTAAGGAACTAATGATCACAGGCACAAGGTCTTGCTCATGGAAATGCTTTTCTTAGTTCAGTTCAGTTCAGTTGCTCAGTCGTGTCTGACTTTATACGACCCCACGGACTGCAGCATGCCAGGCCTCCCTGTCCATCACCAACTCCCAGAGTCCACCCAAACCCACGTCTATCAAGTCGGTGATGCCATCCAGCCATCTCATCCTCTGTCGTACCCTTCTCCTCCTGACCCCAATNCTACTAATGGGTGGGGCTGTATTCCATCCCTGTACACCATACACTAAAATAAACTCAAAATGGATTAAAGACCTAAATGTAAGACCAGAGACTATAAAACTCTTAGAGGAAAATTTATAGAACAGTCTCTGACATAAATCCCAGGAATAACCTTGATGACCCACTTCCTAAAATGATGGGGGGAAAAAAACAAAAATAAACAAATGGGATCTAATTAAACTTAAAAGATTCAGCAAATAAAACCGTAAACAAGATGAAAAGACAACCCTCAAAATAGAAGAAAATAATTGCAAATGAAGCAACTGACAAAGGATTAATCTCCAAAATACTCAAACAGCTTATATAGCTCAAACAGAAAAACAAACAACCCAATCAAATAATGGGCAAAAGACCTAAACAGACATTTCTCCAAAGAAGACATACAGATGGCTAACAAACAGATGAAAAGATGCTCAACATGGCTCATTCTTAGAGAAATGTAAATCAAAACAACAAAGAGGTTTCACCTCAGACCGGTCAGAATGGTCATCACCAAAAAAAAACATAGAAACAATAAATGCTGGAGAGGATGTGGAAAAAAGAGAACCCTCTTGCACTGTTGGTGGGAATGCAAGTTTGTATAGCCACTGTGGAAAATGGTATGGAGATTTCTTTTTAAAACTAGGAATAAAACTACCATATGATCTAGCAATCCCACTACTGGGCATATACCCTGAGAAAACCATAATTGAAAAAGACACATGTATCTCAATGTTCATTGCAGCACTATTTACAATAACCAGGCCATGAAAACAACCTAGATGTCCATTAACAGATGATGGATAAAGAAACTGTGGGGTGTGTGTGTGTGTGTGTGTGTGTGTGTGTGTGTGTGAATATTGAAAGTGAAAGTGAAGTTGCTCAGTCATGTCCAACTCTTTGTGACCCCACGGACTGTAGCCTCCTCTGTCCATGGGATTTTCCAGGAAAGAATAATGGAGTGGAATATTACTCATCCATATAAAAAGAATGCATTTGAATCACTTCTAATGAGATAGATGAATCTAGAGTCTATTATACAGAATGAAGTAAGTAGGAAAGAGGAGAATAAATGTCATATGTTAATACATTTATATGGAATCTTGAAAGATGGTACTGATGAACCCACTTTCAGGGCAGCAATGGAGATGCAGACATAGAGAGCACAGACTTGTGGACACAGTGGGGGTAGGAGAGGGTGGGGGCAATTGAGAAAGTAGCATCAAAATTTATACTTTACCACATGTAAAATAGATAGCCAGTGGGAATATCCAGTATGACACAGAACTCAAACCCAATTCTCCGTGACAACCTAGAGGAGTGGGATGGGAT